AATGACTATGGGAACTCATAGCTTTCTGAAGAGATCGGTTTTTTCAGTAATGGCATTTCTCAAGGCATCTTTCTCTTATTTAGACATTCAGCCTTCTTTATTAAATGATTCCAAACGAATACTTGCTGATTCAGTGTCAAAAATGTACAGTCACCTTAACAGAGACTAACCATTTCAAAGATTTTGTCAATAATAGGATAAGAAACAACTCTCTGTGACAGACTCAAGTTTTTCTGGTATATAGTATATCAGAGAATTTTCTGAGCCTCTGACTTCCAGTACAGCCTTTCTGAAAAGCTGTTATAGTATGTGTTTTTTAGAGCATTGGAACTAAAGGAAGAACAAGTCCAGTTCTTTTTCAAATTTATAATTCTGTTGAAACTAATAAAGACACGATAGAAGGCAGCACACACACTTATCACTTGAATTGCTGCCTTCACAATCGGAAAAATAAAGAAAATTATTATATTTGTCTTTTGCAGTAAATAGTCATAATATATTTTTGTATTTGTGTGTGCATTTACTATTTTTAGGAAATGTGAGGCACACTTGGAGGTAGGAGGGTGGATTAAAATGGGATTACAGATTCTTGGGAACTTCTGCTTTGTGGCCAAAAGTTCTTGGCAACATTGGTACATGAAATGTTAAACTGAATTTGCTGTCTCAATTCATAGGTAAAAGTAGAAAGTGTTTGCTGTGAATTATTTGCTGTTTGATTTAGATAATCTTTTAGGAATACTGCTTTGGAATGTTAGTCATAATGTTTGGAATTTTTACTTACATTTTAGGGCTTTTAAATTAGATCTGTGCTATTGTTTTCTTCCCTGCCTCTGGCTCACTTTAGGCTGTGTAAGATTACCTTTCCTCTTAGTAAAGACTTTTTTGGCATGAGAAATATCAACTTAGAAAATTCTTTTAAATGTGTTTTGTCATCTTCCCCTTTCCATCTGTGAATGGTGGTTATTTCTGTGAAACATTGGTCATCTTTGTTTTAGTTGTAGAAGTTGGCTTTGTCAGATGATTTTCTGTGGAAGCAATAGAAGTCATAGTACATTGATTTGAGAAACAATCCCTCTTTCTTTTATTGTTTAGGTACCTGAAGTACTCACCCCATCACTTACCACGTTCCAGATGGGAAATGATGGCTAAGAGCAGAAAAGCAGAAAGCTGTTAAACCACCTCTTAGTTTATAGTCCCTCCTAAGAACTTTGAGAGCATATCCAGAGTAGTAAGCTTAAACTATTCTCAGTCCTGAACCACTTAGAATTTGAAATTAAATTCACACTGGCAAAGATTAATACTGATCAGATGAGCTTTGCTAATAAGAATATTTCTTAGGAAGGTGCTGCTTTCTAGCTAAAGTGTGACTGTGTTTCTCATACAGATCAATGCAGAATCAAACATGCTAGCTTGGTTGTGCTCTTGGAAGTAACTTAAATTCACCTGTTTGACTCTACACTGGAATGGACATAGAGAGCTAATGACAGGGTCAGCAGTAACAGTTAAGAGGTTTAAAATAGCCTATAATCAAGTAAACTCAATGGCCCATGTAGACATACCTTTTCTTGTGTCTCATTTGTCAGAGGAGAAAGTGTAATGTTCCCTTCACCCTAAGCAAGCTGCTTTTTCAATTTATTTAATTTTTTATCATACTTTTATATATTTCCATATTTCTTTGTAACTATATTAAGAGCTTTCAAATTTAGGAATACTGTCTCAGGCAGAGGTGAAAGTTGAACCTATCGACACATACTTCTCATAGTCTCTCAATACAGCAGAAACTGGTTTAGTGCAGTTGTCACTTTATATGTGCGTTCTGTTTTGAAATTTAAATTACTGTCTTATTTTGGAATTTTTGTACACCTTTGGTGGGCGGGGGAAGTTGTACGTGGCGCTTTTTTTTGTTTACTGTGAATATAGGGATTCGTTATTTGTGTTTAACTTTCTTTTTGGTTAAAAAAAAAATACTGCTGAATTATTTCGCACAATGTTGCATTGGGAAGGTAGCCAATTTCATCTGTTCCAGATCTTGATGTGAGTTTGTGGGAAACCTCTAAATGCATTGGTTTTCTCCCCTATACAATAAATGAATCCAGTAGGATTTTAGATATGGTCATGTAACACGTATTTTGTATATAACCCACAAAATGGACCGAAGTCACTCAGTCAGTAATTCACAACTCAGGAAGTGGTCTCCAGTTTACACCATATCACATAACGTTCTCTTTGTGTTAGGTGAAAGTATCCATACTTATGTGCATTATATACAAATAACATGTGTTACGTGTCTTAACTAATAATTTATGTCGTGTAAATAGCCCTTTCGTTCTATAAGAACCAGACACACTGACTTGTTGGCTAATTTTCTAAAAAAGAAAATTGATTTCCTCTTCTCAGTAGTGTCTCTTGGGTCGTTGTGGAGATGCTTTTATTAGCACAAAGTAATATAAATCAGGACTGTCCTGACAGTAGAATTGCATTAGGTCTTATAACTTACTTTGAATTAGAGAGTTTAGTAATCCAGGCTACCAGCCTAGCTTTGCTTTTTTTAAAAGAAGTTTCTTGATTATCTGATTATGTATTTTGGATGACTTTAAAGAGCCTGAGGGGTATTTGTTAAAACAAACAATTTGAGATGTTGGAAACGTACCTAAATTTGGTACAGAAGAATTCAGGCTCTGCCTCTGGTGAAAACCAGACTTAATTCTATATAGTGTCTCTGAGGAGAATATAGATGTCCCCCAGTAGATTTATAGATGCCCCCCAAAAACAGTATTCCCAGTTCCTGCAGAACAGTATTTGGGAGGGAAAGATGGAGTTTTTGTTTGAAATTTAAGCATAGCTGAAAAGAAAATAAAATTCAGTATTTCAGGTTTCCTGCAGCCTGGAAATCCCAGTAAGGCGTTTCAGGAAGACCCAGAACACTCTCCTTCCAAAGCAGACGTTCCCTGATGGGAACGTTCATGGAGCGGCTGTTCGTGGAGCCGACGTGCTTATCAGTCTTGCTGCTGCGATGTCCTCCTGGAGTCTGCGTCATCTTGACAACACGTTATTTAAGCTTCCACTTGCCTTGAAGAGTCCTTTCCAAGAGCTTACAATTCGACGTGCTTATGGGGCCTTAAGGAATCTGGAAGCGTAGGCAGCCCTGACTCCAAAAGGTTTCTCAAAGCTTCCAGGCTCACCAAAGGCTGCGCTTGGAGCTGGGTCTCAGTCATAAGCTCAGAAGCAGGATTTTCAGACTTACAGCTCAGTGACAGAGGAGCGGCAGGGTTTGACTTGAAAGTCTCTTAGACGTGGGGAGCCCTTTAAATCTTCCTAAACGCATTGCCTCAGGAAAGGGTTCTGTTCTTCCAGGATCTGTGGTTGTTGGGCAGTCCTGCTGAGATCTGCCTGGGGATTGCCAGGCATTTTGTTCTAGGATAAAATACTGGGCAGGTTATCCAGATTTCTGGAATCCCTGCTTAAAAAAAAACAAACAAAAACCCCCCAAAACAGTTTAGCATTCACCCTCAGGCAGCCTGCTACAAGGCCAAGGCCCTGGTATACGAAGTGTTCCAGTATTTGGACAACGCAGATCCATCCCAAGGTCATAGTCCCCTTAAAGACAGGCATCAAGGCTGCCTTCATCCTAGAATATTCTGCTCTGAGATTCTCCTGAATTTCACTAGAATGTGGCCTTGGCTTTAATGGAGCTAATTAAAAGCAAGAGACTTCAAGGCAAAAATGTTGGGGTCGATGAACGAATATTTTCCTCCAGTCTTATATGCTGAATAACTAAACAGATTTAGGCATGTGTGTTTTTGCTGTTATTTGGTTCTCTGGAAGCAGCAGTTTCTAATCCTGAGGTTTATGCTGCTGCGGTTCTGTCTTTTAATTTTTTTAATTACCTTTAACAGCAACAGAGTCCTATACTATTGGATTTAGACTTACTGTGCTTTGGAGCAGAACATTGGCAGCTTGTAAAACAACTTTCCAGAGCTGCACACAGCGGGGAAAAAAAGTCTGTGGTCTTACTTTCTGTTGTAGCTTTGTTTCAGAGAAGAGAAAAGCCTTGAGTTTGAAGGCAATCTTGGTCAGCAGAATAGGTCCACCAAACTTGTTTTTCACTGAAGCAAATTTGAGCAATTCTGAAATAGCTTTAGTTGATATAAAATAGCAGTTCAAGATCCAAGAGCAGAGGGGCGGGGATGAAAAGATAGCTCTTAGTTTGCTGGTTTAAACTGCAGCATAAATACTGACTTTTCTTTGTCTGTAATATGCTTGGGAACCGTTGAATTGATTTTACTAAGAAATTAACAAACCAAGCCATTTAAAAAAAATAAAATTAAAAAAGCTCTTAATTGGGGTGATTTTATCCTCAATCCTCTGATGCTTTTTTGTCCTCATAGCCCGATTTTAAAAAAACATATTTCCTAGATAACTAGGTGAAGATATTTTCAGCAGATAGCCATACTCATACTAGCCCTAGTCTTTACGGCTCAGATAACTAGCAAGGACTTCAGTATCTCAGCACCATCTGTGCAAATCTAGCTGACACTTTGCATACCAATGTAGTTATAAGGCTATGAACCTGTGATTTGCTTTTCTAGATTATCTAGGTTAAAAATACCTCAGATAACTAATTCTGCAATCATATCACTGTTTTAGAAGTGTATGTTAGGAATTTTTATACCCACTCACACTTATTTGCCTTTCCTTTCAGAGGAGTTTAACTTCTTCATATTTTTCTTTCTTACGTTGATTCTGTTTCAGATCAAAAAATGACTTAAATATTTTTTTAGACTGAATTAAAAAAATTACATTTGTTTCTGAATTCTTCTTTTCCTAAAAAGTATTTCCCCATACTCAAAAGTAACATACGCATTGTATATTTATTTCTGTGTAATAATTCATCTTGCCGTTTTGAAACAGGTATCTAGATAGTGTTTTGCAGTCATCATAGTATCTGTAAAATACATATGTGTGAATGAAGTGTTTTTTCTTGAACCTTTTTCTTACAGGCTCATGAGGCAACGCTGGAGGCTAGGGCCAGCCCAGAGCTGAGTGATCGTATGCAGCAGCTGGAAAGGGAGGTAACACGGTATCGGGAAGAATCTAGCAAGGCTCAAGCTGAAGTGGATCGTCTTCTGGAAATCTTGAAAGAGATGGAAAATGAGAAGAATGATAAGGATAAGAAAATAGCAGAACTGGAGAGGTGAGAATGTTATAAAGTTCTAGAGGAGCAAAAGAGATGATTAAAGTTAGCAATCACTTAGCCCGTTTTTCTTGTCTTAAAAACCTTAGCGTGCCTATTTTGGGAAGGTACGTTTGGAGTTTTTCTGCTTTTTTTTTGTTGCATTGTAAGCGAAAAGGTGTCTTACTCTGTGCTTTCGTTACCTGGCTACTCGAAAGTAGGGCTGATACAAATAGAACTAGAAGGATAGATAGAGCTGTACAGGAATGGAGATGGTAGGAAAAGTTGATGACGCTGTGGTGTGTTTGGAGAACTGTTTGTTCTTATGATTTAATAAGTTCCTGAGGCATGGTTCTCCAAAAAATACAAATAAGAAAAGTGACTTTTAAACGCTTGTGATACTAGTTACTCAGGTTCTTCGGACAAGTGGCATTGAAACTCTTTGTACTGGTAGGGACACAGGTAAACTTTGGCTCATGTGAAGCCAAACGAACAGATTTGCTTTTTTTCAAATGAAATGTCATTCGGCACTTTTCAGCATTTTCCATCTTTCTGTTGGAGCCAGGGTGCTCAGATATTTTTTTTAGACTTTAGTGTCCCAAACAAAAATTATAATTTATTATGATTCCATGACATTTGTATCACAATTATAAATGGTCAATCTTGGGAAAGACCTAAAGCAGGTTCTGTTTTCTATCATTTTCTCGGCTCACAGTGGGCCAAGAGGGAGTTTCTAGGCAATAATACCTGTTTGGGGTTCTTTGTTTACTTTATGATTCGCAATGAAGAATCGTTAACGTGGAACAGCAAAATGGAAATTTGATTATTCTCATTTGCCTTGTGCCAGAACAGTCTTCCTAATTTCTATCCTATCACTATTTAACTGCTCTGCATTTAGTGTCAGGAGGATTAGAGGAAATGACTAAAGGACGTTCCAGTCTGTGTCGTGGCAACAGTTATTGATGTGAAAAACTCTCTTCTAAGAAGTCCATTCTTGCTCACTTAAAAGTGACAGAGCTCTGAAACAGTTCAACTTGTCTGCTGGGTTTCTTCTGTCTTTGTGATTATAAGCAGCATCCTGTTAGTTTTCTTTAAGTTGTTACTTCATTTAACCAAAATTCTCCATATCTGCGGTGTAAGCTTTAACACCCAAAAGTGAGAATGTGGCCTTTTTAATGATCTTCCCTTTTTTTCTAAGTGATAGAACTTTCAGCCCATTGATACATGATGTATTCAGCAGAACATTCAGGCATAAGTTGATAGAGCAGGTGCATTAAGTATAGACATGAAAAAACTAAATAGCAGTTACAAGTCATATTTGTCTCTGATTTTTTTCATTCTCTCAGAGGTGCCCATCTTGGGTGTGAGGTTCACCATGTCATCATCTTAGGGCATGCAAGCTGACTAGGAATCAGGGTGTAAGTAACAAACTTCTAATAGAAGTAAGGTATGGGGAAGAAATATGTTCACAGTGCCTTAATTTTTTCTGGGTGCAGAAGTAATTACTGTTTAGGAAAAGCAGAAATATTCATCATTCCTCAACCTGACTCCTAGAGGAGATTGGAATGGCAGGAAGAGAATTTTCTTATGGAAGCTTTTAATGCAAGTCTGATTTTTTAAATTATATTAGCATTCAGAAACTGTAATCAAGATTGGAACCTGCAGTGTCAAAGACTGAGTAAATACGTATAAGTGGCCTATAATCAAAAGAATTTATAGTCTACAAAGCAAAAACAACAAAGAAGAGAAATGAAGCTGGGCCTCCCCTTTTACAGATAAGAGCATTGGCACACAGCCTTCAGAGAGTTATAACAGAACTTTTTCTTTGAAAAGATGCAGTTCCAGAGATCTGCAAAACAGTTACTCTTTTTCGTGTTACAGTGGTAGTTTCTTGCTCTTTCAGTCACAGACCAAACTCTTGCTATATCAATGAAAGCATAAAATCCCCAAATGGCTGGACATCATTCCCTAACAATTTGGTGAATACTTTGACTACTCAGTGCTCTCAATTCCTTCTTACCACCTGATCTTCACTTTTATAAAAAAAATAGAGTGGTCCTCTTCCCTTTTAACTTGTCATCTTTTCTACTAGTACTGAGATAAAACAGAATATGTCATCATTTATTTCTAGTAATTAGAATAGGTATTTCAGCTGTGTCAGAAAAGACTACTTTTATTATCATGTGATTGCCAGCAGCTGTGTAAATCAAGCTAAGAATATTCATGTTGCCTAATCGCTGTAAGTGAAAATGGGAAAGGTCTTCAAGATCTAGACACCTAAGGTGCATACTGTTAGTGTGGTGAATTAGTGAAGTATCAACACCTGAAATGATTTTTCAGGTGAAACTATAATATAATCACAGTACTGGAGAAAAAGATACAAGGTTTCAGATACTTTGTAGTGAGGTTTTGACTAGTAATTTCTCTTTTTCTGAATAATTGTTGAAATTTTTACTTGGCCTTAGTTGTTTTCAGCTGCTGCCTCAAGCCTCTGTTCTCTGGAAGCTTGCTTTCTCCTTGTGAGTTTTTACACAAAGGAGAGTTTTTAACGTACCTATTAAATGTATAGGTTGGTCCTGGTTTTATCTACTATGCTTGTTTATAAAGTATTCTTTCATGGCTGAACTGATATATCTGGGTGCGTTACATGGATGTTTTAGAGCTGGAGTCTGGGTTTCCTGAAAAGAATAGATCATTTTGCCTTATAAAAGTCCTTCCTAAACTGTGGTCCATGCTAGAAATTATCTTGACTTCTAATGCTTCTACAGCTGTTCAAACTCTGCTGCGCAAAGAAGAACCCTAGTGCCTGCAGTAGCACTTGTCAGCAAGCAAAAAAGTTAATATTGCTGTGCCTATCAGGAACCATTATTATTCCATGTAGAGTAAGATGAGAAAAAATAAGTCACATTCAGAGAATAACCGTACTAACAAAAATGGGATTTTTCAAAAGAGGGAGCCTCTCCCTGGAGTTTTTCCTTACGCCAGTTATATGTGACAACTAGACCATACGTCGTCAGGAGAAGAGAAATGGTAACACGGTTTCATCCATACAAGAGAAGAAATGAGTCACCTATTAGGGAGATATGAATAAGGGAAAGA